GTGAGGCTTTCAAGGAAAAGGGACAAGGAGTCATCAACGCGGGCACGAATCGCGGCGGCGACAGAGGCGGGCGATTCGTCGCTTGCTTCGTCGGCGTCAAGCGTTAGAAGCAAGACGTTTGCGTGGCCGTAAACGGATGAGGCAGCAGAAAGCGCAGCCGGAAGGGCGGCGGCGTCCTGGCGGGAGGCTTGGCGACGGACGAGAAGGACAACGGGGGCGGCGAAGGGATCGGTGTGGTCGGAGTTAGTTGTTGCAGTGGGGTCGTCGCCCTGCAGATCGACGTCGCGGGCCAGAGCAGCCGCGGAGCCTGCGGGCGGGATGGATTTGGCAGCTTGGGCACCAGCGGTCAGGGAGGCGAGCGGGTCGGCCTCGGCGACCCAGGCGGCGAGGACGAGGGCGGCGGGGGCGGCGAAGTGGTCGGCGTCGGAGACAGCCGAGATGGCCTCGAGGTGGTCTTGGTAGGCTTGGGTGAGGGTGCGTGGGGCATGATGGAGTACGTCGTGCAGGGAGGAGAGGGCGGCGAGCCAGGCGGGGGGGAGGAGGGAGGAAGCGGTATGCAGGGGGTAGGGGAGGTGTTGCGAGAGTAGGGAGCAGAGGGAGCGGTGCGTGGAGAGGGTGGGGACGGTGCGGACGAGGGTGGAGGATTCGAGGGAGGCGTGAAGGAGGAGGGGGGGGAGGTGACGGGTGCGGACGGAGGACTTGAAACGCTCCATCGTCCCGTGCGCGACGGGCGGGGAGGCGGTACGGTGGATGGCGGTGTCGAGGAGGAAGCGATGCATTGCATGATGGAGACTGAGAGGGTAGGGTCAAGTTAGACAGCTATTCCTGGGGCCCTAAAAATAATCGATTTTTAACAAAAAGAAGAAAAAACATAAGTATTGTATAAATACATCATCCATATTTTAGCGAGCACCAATCCCCTATGGTCTAGTGGTTAGGATTTCCGACTCTCACTCGGGAGGCCGGGGTTCAATTCCCCGTGGGGGAAATTTTTTGATTCTATGACGTTTTCTATTAACCCGTTAAGGTTAAGCACCAACATGCGAAATTCGGTCTATGTGTCGTGTATGATGTAGCTGCTCTCTCCTGGTTTTAATCTCTTTTTATATACCTGATCACCTGAAGACGATGAACATTCGCCTTCTCCAAATTCTTCCACCCCCTTTACATTTTTACGTGAAAGCAGAACTTAAACTGTGTCATGTCATGTGACTGTTACCCTCTCGCTCAGCCCGTGATTCACTCATCCATCCCCAATCCAAATTCTCATCACCTCCGTCAAAATGCATGTTTTCCTCTCCTGAACAAGCATAGAGCATTTCGTTTTTTCTTTTTTTCCTCGCGCCCAAGCTTTCGCTACTCTATACTATATAAAGAGTGGCCCCCCCAGCATTGAGGCCTCCTTCATGTCTCGACGTCCACAACCTAAACACAAGCGCCACAACACTGGAGTTTGTTTTTCGATTCTATCATGGCGGGGGTTTCTTTTTCGATTTCCGTTTTTCTCTTTGTTGCGCTCCTGATGCCTAGCAAAGCCGATATGTACTTCTATGAAGCTGGCGAAAACAGTCCACGCGGTCCAAAGTTGGTGGATAACATGGTTTTCTGTCCAAAAAAGTTTTCGCAAGGCAGAGGATTCAGTATCTTCTGTGAGCCCTATCCCAATGCCAAATGGGCCGACTTTTTAATTGATGGAGTCAACGTTCGTCGAGAACGTCTTCTGCCTTACTTCATCAAGGGAGATCGCAATGGTAAGATCAGAAGGTGGGGAGAATGGAAAGACTACGAAGGAAACTACAAGAAAATTTCTTGCGAACTGAGAAACCGCCACGGTGTGCTTGCTACATACACAGCCACCGTCTCTTTAACCTGTGATGAGAAAGATACCCCGGACAAGCCAAATCCATCGCCTAGTCCCACCCGTGATGACGACAAGGACAAGGACAAGGAACCTTCCTCTCTTCTACTCCACCCAGCTGGAACAATTGGAACCAACTACATCAAAGTTACTGATGGAATGGTCTTCTGCCCTCACGAGTTTTCGATGGATGGTTTTACAGTGGAATGCGTTGGGTCTGAATATGTGACGGGCGCCAAATTCTCCGTTGACGGGCGGATGGTAAAGCGTGAGTCGCTTTTGCCTTACTTCATTGCTGGCGATAGAAACGGAAAAGCGGCAGCATGGAAAGGATATCCAACGTCCGGAGCTTTTGCACTGGCTTGTGAACTTGACGACGGAACTACAACCACTAAGACCATGCAAGTGAAGTGTGAAGATAACAATGAACCGGAGCCATCCCCCGAAGATATGCCAGATGACAAGCCCGATGACAAGCCCGATGACAGGCCTGTTGACGGTGTCAAAACTTCGGAAGATGGTTGCATTGTAATTGATGCTAGAAATACCGATGTGTCTAACGAGTGGGTCACAATGGCGACGGGGGTCGCTTTCAAACCGCATGTCGATGGTGTTTACGTCGCGAAAGCGGGCAAGTATCCGCTTCACTACAAGTTTACAGCACCGATGTCTGAACAGTACGCCGTGGTCATCACAATGACGACATCTCACTCCACGGAGCACAATGATATTTGGGCAAAGTTTCCCGAATATGGCTTTCAATTCATGAAGGGTGGAGAAATTTATCCGGATAAACAAAAGGGGATGAACTGGATCAAGGTCTATCACAACAAAAACGGATGGGCTTCAATCTCAAGCTCGATTGACTTCAATGCTCACTCAATTGCTACCCAAACACGACTCGAGGCGGGCAAAACGTACGAGTTCTGGATCGCCGGCAGAAGCAGCAAGGTGACAGTGCACAAAATTGTTCTCTTCCCCTGTATCGGCTATGAATGCCAGAGGGCTAGCAAGACGTGGAAGAGATACCTCAACAAGTGCTTGGATCTTTAACTACTTTCACCGATGATCTTATTCTGGTGAGTGATTAGATCCGCCTGCCATCCTCGCACGTGGGTTGCACGTATCCAACAAAACCAAGACAGGGCACATCTTCCTTACATTAACTCTCACTGAAGCGCGTGAGCCGCGATAGTTTTTCCGTAGCTTCGTAAACGTTGTCATGTTTGACGTAGTTTGCTATATTTCATGCATCGGCCCTGCGCAGCCCTACGGCTATATTCCCGCATCAGACAGGTAACGTAGACAAAAAGAACACGCCGTCAGGACTATCCCCCCATCCTCCTAAAATGCATTACCGAGTCTTCCAAGTGAAACAGGTACAATTTCTGGAGTCAGAGCATACCTCAGTGGTTGCATGTTACCCCTCATCTCTGAGATGGACTTTCAAAATCTTTCACACCCCCGCCCTCAAAGCTGTAACAGGTCGGGGCTTTCGCGTCAAAAGGGAGCGCGAAGATCAGAAATAGGTGAATGCGGAGAGTATCAAAAGGAGAGTGGGGCAAAGGGATAAAGCATGGTCACAGGTCTGCTTCTCCTTGCAGTTCCCTGTGCCTTCGTTTATTGCGAGCGACTCCCTGTCGACGCATATGTACACCTCTGGACCGTTACGTGGAATGCATATAAAAGGGGTGTTGGATCATTTCCGATACGCACCCCTTCGCCCGTTATCAGGTGAAACGAAGGTACTGCTTCTCTTCCTAGAGATGTTGGACCAAATAGGCCCGATATGCCACAGATACATCTGTAGACGCAGTACAGCTGAGATAAAGCTGCGGGGCGCTACACAGCACAAAGCCAATGTGAGCAAAGAGCGCAAGGCGTTACAAAGCTGTCTGATGAGTTTATATCCCATTTCACCACTCAATCTATCGCAAAGAAGTGTACAAGGCAATTCGAATTACCGGAGACTTAAAACTGAGCTCCGTTGTACGTCTCGGTGATGAAACTCTGCCTGATACTTCTTCAACAGTAAAATGTGCGAAGAGAAAATTGGAAACATGCCCTCTTGTACGGCTTCCACGTATACCTACAATGTTTAGGGAGCTACCAGAGGGTGATCTGATTCACTCATTAGTAAAAGGGACGAATGAAACCATGTGGATTGACTTGATGAAATGGTATTGAGTGTTGTTTTCAAACACTCCTCACCATGTTTTCATCACAGCTCAATGCTGGTGATTTATATCTGAACAAACAAGAAACAAAATTAGGGTCTCTTTGTAATATCTGATTCAGACACGCATCCCTCTAATTTTGCAGCGAAGCAGGGGTTTCTCCACTGTCGTCTTGAATGAGTTTCCGACAAAGCCCCTCTTCGAAACGGGGTCAGCGCTTCAAGTCTTGTGCATGCTTCGTGGCACGAGTCCTCACTAGAAAAGAATTTGTTTTCACGACAATCTTCTTGGCCAAGGGGATGTCTTGCGTAGCACTCTGAACACAACCGGCCTCCTCACTTGCCATTTCAATGGAAAACTCAGCGACTAAGGGCTTCGTTTCTTGCATTTTCTTGCATATATACAAGTGAAGAGGTTAGGACCTCCCCATCCCCCCCGTCTTTCCATTGCAACCACTTTGTGCTCTTCAATGTAGAAGAAAAAGAAGGGAGAAAAAAACGGGGACCGGCCCAGTGGGCTGACCTATCCGCCATACTGATTTCCTGTCTCCCCTTCTGTCTTGCCTCAAGTCTGATATTGCTTTTCTACTTTCTCCGTAGATTCGAATGTGTATAGTATCTGAGTCACTCTCTGCATTAAACCCTACTTCTGATCATTGCTGATGGGCCCGGCTTCAAAGAAAATGCCTGTGTTGACAATGCTGAGCACCTTGTGGCTACAATACGCGTCTCTCATACCTCACACAGAAAAATGTGAGCCAGTGGCTTCTTCCTGCGTTTTGACCATTGTAAAAGCAAGAATAAGCTGTTCATCTAGAAACAGGCGCATTTCTATTGCATCTTGTCCAACATAGAGCTTGATTGTTCAGCAGATGAAAAGCGAAAACGAAGAAGGCTGTCAATATCGCCCATCGTTTCACATCATTCTTGCTATCCACACTCCTTTCAGCAAAAGTAAGGCTCTTCATGATGTCAGCATCTAGCAAATCAGCAGCGGCATTACGTCTCATGACAGACTTGAAGATGATCCGAAAAGAGCCTCCGGAGGGCTGTAGCGCCGGTCCTATCCTCGACGACAACATCTTCGCATGGGAGGCGACGATACTTGGGCCTGCCGACACTCCGTGGGAGGATGGAATATACAACATGTATCTGACATTCCCGGAACGGTATCCCGAAGAGGGGCCCACAGCTCGATTTCAGACGGAGATGTTTCACCCCAATATTCAAGAGAATGGGAAAGTATGTCTGGACATCATTCAGGAGAACTGGTCGCCCGTTTACACGGTAAACATGATTTTGATGTCAATTCAATCACTGCTGGCGGATCCTAACCCCAACAGCGCGGCAAACTCGGAGGCGGCTCAGATCTATCACCGGGATCGGAATGCTTACGAGAAGAAGGTTCGGGAGTGCGCTGCGAAGAGCATAAACTTGTAGCAGGGAAGAATTACGTAGTGTTGTTCATGGCCCAGAGAGTCTGTGCACTGCAGAGTACGGGACGGAGATCATCTGGGTCGGGGCGTTTCTGGGTATCAACATCGATTAGAGGCGTGCTGATGTGGGGAAGTTGGCTACATGCAATGCATGCATGGGATACTTGATCCAGGATCTCTTGGTCTTGGTGTTTTCTCTGGTGGAGAAAAACTGTACAAAAACTGCGAGCAGTAAGTAAAAAGATTTCTTCCTACATACTATGTATATGACGTTGATGAGTGAAAGTAGATGAGGCGTGTGATTAAACGGACTTCGCAGAAGGCAGGGGAAGAATTAGTTTATGATACACGGAAATATGTTGCACTGAAGTAATGCTAACAAGGTTACACCAAGAAAAACGTAGAGTATTAGCGAATCTCCCGTGCGCGCAGCCATCAGGAAAGGAAACAGATTTATCGTATCTCAGTTGTGGAGAAATGCTGCGTTTGGGGGGTTGCCTTTTATGTAGACCAAGGAAGACGTAACCTACGTACATCGTCAGGGCTGCGAATAAGGTAGAGTAGCTTATTATATATAAGTCAGGACTTGGAAACGGCCTGCCCACACTTGCAGGCAAACCAAGCTACTCCTGGCGCGTGTGTGGAAGCACACGGGTCAATCAGCAATGCAAACGACGGGCATGCTCCGTAAAGGACGGTAACGGGGGAAAGTGAGGAACGAATGCGATACACACGCATCGGGATAGTCAAAAAAAAAAAAAAAACATACAGTCAGGCTCCACTGCTACTGAAGTGGTGGGGGCGGATTCTACGCAGAAAGGCAAACGCGAGGTAAGTGACGGAGAAGCGATGCCGAACCTTGAGAGTGGGAGGGCGTTTGATAGGGCACACATGCAGGACTGTATCTCGAGAGAAGCGCGCCGCGCGCTGCGCGCACTCAAGCATACCGCGCAGCGGCAGTCGTGCTGCGGAATGCTGAGCGAGGGTGGATGTGAGGAGCGGGGTCCCGTCGGCGCGCATGGCTAGCTACAGAGACGCCGCCGCGTGGACTAAATCAGATGTGCAACAAGCAGTGGAAGGAGACGATCTCACGGGCGATTCGGGCTTGTCTTCTGTGCACAGCGAGGAAATAAAACTTTATCTCACATATCCCACCACCGACTGGCACGTGCCCCACCCGCCCATCAGCTGCCGCGTCATGCCCCCCCTCCCCCCCTCCCCTCCCCCCCTCATCACGTAAACCTCAAGCCCCCGAACGCCCGCATCCTCGCTCACCCCCGCCACGCGCCTAGTAACACGGCAAGGGAATGCACGCCCGCGTCCCCGGCGCCCCTCCCCGGTCACCAGGCGCGTACGCACAGCGGTCGGCGGAAACCCGCTCGGTGACGCTATCACGATCGATCGTGATGGTTCGCCGGTCGTTGGCGAGGACTCGGTACGGCCAAACGGCGGACGACGCGAGTTTGTTTGACGTCTTTACCCCATCGGTGGGGTTC